GATAATAAGAATAACAACTCAAAAAAAAAAAAAAAAAAAGAATAACAACTCATACAGTTGTAAGAACTAGTGTTAATACATATATCCCACCAAGTGAGTGCTATGTAAAGTTTGCTTTTAGTTTTACTTTCTTACCAAGACAGAGTTTTACGGTTCAGTCATGAAAAAGCTCCCCCAAATGAAAAATACTTAATTGTACCTATAAAGAACATGATTTTAATATTAATTAAGCTGTGATGTAGATTAATGCTAAACCCAAAAAATGAGAAATCATTGCTTTCAAAGCAATAAAAAAATCATAAAATGTAATTTAAAAAACTATATACCATTGTCACTGGTATAAGAAGTGATACTTTCTTTGGTCTCCAGCACCTCCCCCCAAAATTGTTTTAAGTGACACTCTCTTTGAATTTAAAGTTTGCCTTTTTTTCTTTCTTTCCTTTTTTTTTTTAAGACACGGTCTCATTTTGTAGTTCAGGCTGGCTTCAACCTCAGTGATTCTCCTGCCTCAGCATCCTGACTCCCAGTATTACAGGTGTGCACCATAATGCCTGGCTAAAGCTTATTTTAATTTTAATTATTTTAAGTCATAGTTAATTCAGAAATGTACCAATAAAATTAAATTCAAAATTTAAATATAAACTGAGCATGGCAGTACATGCCTGTAGCTACAGCTATCCAGGAGGCAACGGGGGAAAGGTCACATGAGCTCCTAAGTTCAAGACCAGCCCGAACAACAAAATAAGACTCTGAGATTCCATCCAGAAAAAAAAATGTAATCCTTGTACACTGTCACCTAGTTCACATAAATAGCTTAAATATGTATTATTGTAACTGGCACAGTAGATGTCCAAACTGTATTTGCTGAAAGAAATTTATTACAAAGATCATTGCTAACTATTTTCTGGAAAGGAAAAAACAATCTATATAGTACAAACATTAACCAAACCAATAAATTTAAGTGCACCTAACACAATCTGTAGTTAAGATCTTTAAGATATTAAATGCTGACTGACTTAGGTTAATTTGTTAACTTATTTAAAATAAGTCAGGGGGCCGGGGATTTAGCTCAGTGGTTCCACTGCCGCCTCGAAAGCGCAAGGTCCTAAGTTTGATCCCCGGTACCAAATAAATAAATAAAAATAAGTCAGTATGATATAAACTACATATTTCCTTTTCTGATTTAAAATGCTTTTTTATACTCACAAGGGGAAACAAGTTTTATGAGGCCTCTGTTTTAAATGTCTGTTTTTAAATTTACTATAAATAACAAAAAAAATCTTAATTTCCTCTGCATTTCATAATTAACTACCCCAGGACTTAGGTAGATGGGACTAAACAAAAATATCAAGATGATGATATCCTCTATTTTTTGCTTACCACTCTCAACAGGGTAGTTTATATTTTAAGCAGTATATTCTATACAGAAACATCCACTTGTATTTTTAAGTTAATCAGAAGATAAAAGATAAACTTTATTTTTCACTATACAATATTTTACTCTTTGGTATAAAACAGTTAGATGAATATATGGGAGAATAAACTATTCCAGTATTTTAAAATATACAGTATGTTTCTATTTGCACTATTCTTTCTCACTTATAAAAGAGGATAAAGTCATGAAGCACTTAGGCAGATCACAAAAACCATGATACTGCCAACATTAAAAGGTAAAGACATGTGGAAGGTATATTTTGTTTCTTTAATATTTAAAACTATATCATCCTTAAAACATATCATAGGGGGGAAGGACAAAAAATATGTAAGAAAATGTACAGTAGTAAGAAGGTAAAATAGCAACCAAAAATAATGAAGCCAAAATGATACGAGAAAATCTGGTAAGCACAAAACTAATATGCAAGACAGGGGTGGTGGCACATGTCTGTAAACCCAGCACTCAGGAAGGCTGAGGCAAGAGGATCCCAAATTCAAGCCCAGCCTGGGCAACTCAGCAAGTTAACGAGAACTGCCTCAAAGAGAAAAAAAATTTTTTTAAAGGGCTGGGAATGTACCTCTGTATGAAAGCCCTAGGCTCAATCCCCATTACCACAAAAAATAAAAACCTAATATGCAGAATTGTGTTTTAAACTGAGCTCTCGGGTTGACAAAATCACATTTTGCCAAACTAAGGTAGAAATTTCTATAGAAAAACAACCATGAGGAAGGAAGTTATAGCTCAATGGCATAGCACCTGCCTAGCATGCAGAAGTCCTGGGTTCAATTCCAGGCAGAGCAAAACAAAAACCCAACAGTGATTCTTCTCTTGAGCTCTAGAAACAAACACACTAAGACCTCTCTGGTGATGGGAGAGGGGAGGTGGCAGCTCGTTTGGCGGGTAGGTAAGAGTGACAGGCTTTTCAATAATCAGAAAGTCTATCAGTGAGTGTTCTGTCCAGCAGCATGAACACAGCTGCTCCAATGAGAACATAGGATGTTCATTTCATTTAGAGGCTTCTGTTCAGAATTTATAGCACAATAGGCAAAGATCATTTTTAAAATGTTTTTGTAGTATCGAGGACTGAAACCAAGGCCTTTGTGCTGAGTGACAGCCCCAGCCTTTTATTATTATTATTTTAATTTCTTCATTTCAGACAGGATCACCCCAGGTTACTAGTTGCCTACACTGGGCTCAAATTTACAATCTTCTTGCCTCAGTCTCTCAGAGGCTGGGATTACATGTCTGTGTGCCACCACCCTAGGCTAATCAAAATCATTTCAGAAAAAAAACAAAAAAAAGGAATTCCTAAAACTGTTCAACCTGTGCACAAAATAGTTTCTATTTTCTCTTTGAAGGTAAAATGATTTTGGCCTGCATTTTAAAATCTATATTATAAATTTCTGATTCTAAGTTTTATTCTTATGAAACACATGTTTGAAACAACTTACTAAATACTATATTGTGCTCTCCAACCTATGGAACTAAAATTTACTACTCTAATGAGTGTGTGTGCAAGGCTTCTTTATTTACAAAAAATAGTCATTAATTCTTTAACATATAAAACGAAGCAGTATGTTTAAATGTTATGGTTCCCTGCAGCTGTGAATCATAGAAATTTATATAGGTTTACATTTAGACATGTTCAAGAAATACAAAGATCAGAAATGAAAAAGGTTGAAAGTTGGTCCTGCATCAACCCAAATTTGGGTGTATCTATTAAGTTCCCATGGCGTTTTAACAATTCCACAAACCTAGAGGCAAGGAGGCAACTGAAATCAACCATATTCACTCATTGGGATTAGTTTTAAAGGACAGAAAATGATAAGGCCAGATCATACAGAAATTAGACTTTTCCAGTGTAGGTGCTGGGGAGAAGGTACAGAAAAAGGGGTTTCCCTCAGCAGTTAAGTCTAGAAAACTGACCAGAAGGGTCTTGCTCTGTGGCATCTAGGACTAACATGGCCAAGCTCCAAAGTCTTTTGCTAAAAATAAGTAAAAGGAGCAGCCCAATTTTGGAATAAGCCAGTCTATGCTACCTTTTCATATGTATAGAAGAAGAGAGAACTCAGCCAAAAGAGAAGCTGTATTTGCTCTGTTCACATTTAAGTACTCAATTTTAGAGCACAATTTACATGATTTCAGAAACTGAGCTCATACATACAGACACACACACACACACACACAAATCTTTGCAATCCAATACATACTAGGCATCCATCATAAGAATAAGAAAACAAAAATAAGGATTATCAAGCCCTGTACCTCAAAATATACCTAAGGTCACAAAATATGGGAAATGGGACACCAGTCACTATTAAGTACAATCCCGTCATATTATAGATGATTTTAAATCTCCAGAGAAATTTAAGATGCCTTCAACCTCAAAACGAGAAAAAGATAGTTTCAGGACTAAGGTGGTAACAGTAAAGGAAAGATAAGTTAAAAGAATATTCTAAAAAATAAAGTACTGCAAAGTCTAGCTTATGAAAAACCAGGAAGAAAAACAAAATATGTTAATATGGCAACAACAGAAAAAGTATAGGTGGCAAGGATAGGGATATGTATCTGTATTCTGCAGTCAACTAAAGAAAATTTGAAATTACAGTAATGAACTCATCAGAATAAGTATCAGTAACAACAGATTAAAAGTTTTGAGGATAAGCTTATAAATCTGAGGCCAATAGCCTCCCAAGACACTGTCCTGGCACTGCAACTGTCCTCTAAGTAAAGCCCAGGCGGAACACTGAGCTGACCATCCCAGAACATTTTTGCCTCAGCTGTGCACATCTATTCTCATGGGATAGAGAACACAAAACTGACAGAACGTCCTCATGACGTGTCAATTAACAAGACCACACAAGTCCAACCGCAAAGGACCGTGTGCCTGCCACCTGTTAGCGGCTCTTGAGAGGGCCCCAAAATTGAACTCTAGCGAAGAACTGAGGACGCCTTTGTTGTTCTCTAGTACGGAAGCTACCAGAGCTCAGTCTAACCCGCGCCTCAAAGCAAACCTTACCCCGAGGGAGGAAAGTCTTCCCAGAGTGGGGCTTTGGCAAACTCTCCTCTAGCTAAGAAAAGGCACAACTCCCAGCCCAGCATTAAAGTCATCTACTAGTCCCAAGAGAAGGGAAAGGCCAAAGATAAGGAAAGCTGAAGAACCGAGATCCAAGATCTTTAAAAAGGACTGGTTTAGAAGTGGAGAGCGTACACAATGAGGAGGTGGGCTGTCCCGTGAGTTAAAGAACAGTGAGATTCCCGGCTCACGGAGTCAAGGAAGAGAGGTGATAAAATGAGGAAAACGGAGAGGCAGTGGCTGAGGTGAAGGCAAGAAACCCTGGTTAGAAAGAGGCGGATGAGGCTGAGTAAAGAAGGACTACACTGAGGTGAAAGAGGCAAGGCCAACAGGAGGTAAAGGGGTGAAGTGAGAGGGAAGAACGGCACGGAAAAGGAACAGGCGAAGAGACCCCCCACCCACAGGGACCCAGGCAGAATTCCTGACTCGTCTCCCTACAGGCTGTAATCGACCTGCCGCGCTCTGACCCTGTCTGCAGAGGAGACTCACCCAAAGGCTGCAGAAGTCCCACAGTAAGACATGGGGACCGGCCCAGACCCAGAGTAGAACCAACAGAGTGGAGGAAACCGCGGTGTTAGCGTGACCCGGACGCGCATCCCTAGGAACCGGAAGTAAGCAGCAGGGTCACCTCACAATCCACACTTCGTTCCGCCAGAAGCCTCTGGGCGCATGCGTCTTGCCTCTTGGGGCGGGGTAGTGCCTAGGTCCAGTCCACTTCTCCCCCTCCCCCGCCTGGTGAGCCCCGCCCCTGGTCGCGCCAGTCTCAGAGCCTCCGAGTTGTGCTCGGAATCAATGAGCTAGTTTCTCTGCTACTTAGCTACAATAGCTGGGATAAAGAGTACTTCAACCCTAGTTTTCCAAAAAGGGTTTTGTTTTGTTTTGACTGGTAATGGGGATTGAACCCAGGATCTTCACAGTCAGCTACCTCCCCAACCCTTTTTATCTTTTACTTTGAGATAGAGTGTCGCTAAATTGCCCAGACGGGACTCGAACATGGGATCGTTTTGCTTCAGCCTCCCACCAAAGAAGTCTTTTAAACATGTTATTCTTAGCTCCCTAAAGAGAACGTGAAAATAAATGCTAAGTACATTCGTTACATTTTGAAAAACTAGAGGAGAAAGAATGGATTCAAAGTGTTGAAAGACACTTCGAAGGCCAGCCCAAGGTCATCTTTTTCTCTCCAAACTTATTTTATTCCTAATATTATATCGAGCTTAGAATTAACTTCAGGTTGTGCACATTGTTTTCAGAAAAAAAAATTTTAAATATTTTATTAGTTTAAATTTACAATCCAAATATGGGCAAGGAGAAAGGTTGTATTCAGTTTTTGTGCTGACTTAAAGTTTGAGGGGAGGTCCTCTTTAGGAAAATGAATCCGGCTCCCTGTGTGGTGGCACATGGCTGTAATCTCAGCACTTGGGAGGATGAGGCAGGAGGATCGCTGCAAGTTCAAGGCCAGTCTGGGCTTCATAGCGAGACTTTGTCTCCAAAAAAAAGAAAAATCCAAAATTACAAATATATTACACATAAAATTGTCTTTTATACTATAATGAGAAAAGAAATCACAATTTAAAAAAAACTAACCCATAAATACCACAAATTTAAAATTCAGAGAAAAACACATTATTTTTATTAACTGATACATGTCTTAAATACTTTTTCCCCTTACATTTCTTGGCTATGTATTTTTTGGTCATCTCTCTATGATAACAACTTACTAAACAATATCATTAACTAAGCTCTTCAACTCCTTTCTCACACCCCTACCTAATTAATTCATCAGCATAATCTATTGGAGCTACCTTCAGTATCTAACCAGAATCAGACCATTTACTCTCTCGGTTAGTATAACCCAGTCAAACTGTGACCCTGAATGCCCCCTGCACTCTCAGAATCAATTAATGCAGTAGCAGAAGGCTCCTGTTCAAACCTCCATCCAGATCATTTCCCCCATAAAATGAACTCCTATTTTGGAGTGAAAACAAAATCTTTACACTGACTTTACAGAACGCTCAAGATTTGACACCCCCTCGTACAACTAACATTCTCCCCTATTCCCTGTCATCTCTGCACTTACGGTACACTGGCCTCTTAGGTGTTCATCAAAGACGCAGATAGGCTCAGGATGCTTGTGCTTGCTGCCCCCTCTGCCTGAAATGCTTTCCCTTAAACACCTGTCCTTCACCCTGACACCTGCTTTACATCTTAATTCAAATACTATCGCCTTCTCAGTGAGATCTACCCTAACACTGCATTGAAAATGGGAACACTATAATCCTGGTACTTTCTATTCCAGTTCTCCACACAATTTTTCTCTAATAATATCTATCCCATCCCACAAGTTTGTAGAATGTAAGTTCCATGAGGGCATGGAAATTTGTTTTGTTCATGAATGTATCTCAGCACCAGGACAGAGCCTGGCAAATTGTAGGTGTCCAGTAAATATTTGTTGAATGAAAGGTTAAATTGCTTTTTTCACTATGAGTTCAGGGTGGCCTTGAACTCACTATATAATCTAGGCTAGCCTCGAACTTGTGGCAATCCTACTGTCTCAGCCTCCCGAGTGCTGGGATTACAGGTGAACCACCATAGCCGGCCCCTCACTTACTTTGCTTTAAAATAAATTACTCTTTGGTCTTTGCTTTCATTATCTGAAACCACATGAGCTGAGCCACCGAGCCCACAAGAGGGAGCCCGCAATTAAACAATAGAATATCCCCAGAAAAGTTCCTAAAGGGTATGCTTACTACAAGTACAAACACAATTTGAAAACAAAGTTATAGAAAAGCACAGATTTCTCTCCTGAGCAGAGAGTACTGTACCTCACTAGCAATAATAATAATAATAATAACAGCAATAATAATAATCTCCAATGTCTTTACAGTCCTTTAAAAATAAAATCCAATTCCTTCCTATGACCCTTCTTGGCCAGACCTTCCTAGCCCTACATGGCATACCCAGCCACCTTCCCTTTTACATACTGAGAGCACCAGCCTTGCTGGTTCCTCTTTCTGTTTCGTGCGTGGGCAGACTAGGATTTCTTGTCTCAGGGCCTAGGCACATACTGTTCCCTCTGTGCCTCTAACCTTCCAATGAATAGAACCTTCTAACCTTCTGCTAATCACAATTAAATTTCACATCTGGAAGCCTCCCATCGCCTCCTGTCTTCTGTTTAAAGTAGCTCGCTTTCACATACTTTATCTTTTCTTCATGTTCCTATTGCCATTTGCAATTATCTTCTTTACTTACTATCTGTCACTGAAAAGTTCTTCAGAGGTTTTTCCCTCTTGTTTACTACTGAAGTCTTAGCACTGGACAAGTAACTGCAATCTAGTGAGTGCTCAATATATAAAACAAATTACTAATATTTACTGAAGCTTTACCCTGTGCCACTGACTGTACATAGTAAATAGATAAGTACCCACGTTTCTCTCTTAATTCTCCCACCAAACTTGGGAAGTATTATGATGACCTCCATTTTACAGATGAGGAAACTGAGGCAGGGAGAGGTGAAACTTGTTTAAGGCCAAGTGACTGGCAAGAAGCAGACCCAGGACTTGATCTGTATGTCTTTAGAGCCTAGGATTTTAGCTACTGGGTCATGCTCCTCTCCTACTACAGAAAGAGCAGCAGGTCGCCAAAGATGAATTGATTTATTTACAAATTTCTTTTCTCTGACTTTATGTATTTTTGCTTGTATAGTCAGCAAAGAGTAGAACTGTTTGTGGGTTTTTACCCTGCCCTACAGTACTACTTCTGTGGATAAATCTAAAGAAATATGTCAAAGATATGGCTAAGATTTCTTCAAGTTGAATTTTAAGTTCTATAATATCTCTTATATTATTTTTTGTAGATTTGAATTATTTCATTCAAAATTTAACACAGAAATTAATATAGTGAAAAAAGTAAATATTACCAAATATTTCTAAACAAAAGCTAAAATGTAAATCAAAACCAAAAAAACTACACTAGAAAGGTCTAACGATAAGTCCTTTATTGCACATTTCCATTTTAAAAACACACAGTGGATATATGACCCATGTTTGGTAAGAGTTATAAATCTATTTTCTTTTTTTCTTTCTTTCTTTTCTTTCTTTTTTTTTTTTCTGAGACAAGGTCTTACTATGTAGCCCAGGCTGGCCTCGACCTCATGGCAATCCTCCTGTCTCAGGTTCCCAAGTGCTGGGATTATAGGCATGGGCCACTACACCTGTCACAGTTATCAATTTAAACCCTCCTGATTGACATATATGAAATACAATGATCTGAGTTTTTAAACTTTCTATTCCATTTCCTTGGTATATTATCTTCAGCCTGTCCACAGGCATATTTTCTACATAGTTACTATTTTTTTTTCAACAAATCAGTATCACTTAACAACATTCAAGATCTCTTGCTTGCTTTGTAGAGAATGCTACAGACTCAAGTGTTTTAGGATCACCATACAGAAATGCATACTATAAAACAGTGACCAGGAATTAAAACTATAGCCATGGAAATCCACATGAAAAATAAATGGAACATTTCCTGCATCCTTACCAGAGTCTACTTTGTATTTATTAAGACCCACATTCAGAGTGTATTCTTGTTATCTATTGCTATAGGACTATCCCAAAACTCAGTGGCTTAAAACAACAACCACTGGATTATTTCATATATTTTGATTCAGGAATTTAGGCAGGGCTCAGCAGGATGATTGTTCTGTTCACACAACATCAATCAGTTACAGTGTAGCTGGTGGCTAGGCTAGTCTGGAGGGTCCCACCCAGCCTTACCTGTGTGGCTGGCTCTTAAGGGGCTAGCCAAAAGCCTGAGCTCAGCGGCCTCTCCTCTCCATGTAGTCTCAGAGCCTATCCACATTCCATATGATATATCAGGGTAAATTTCTTACATGGCAGCTCAGGCCTCCATAGTGAGAGGCTATAGAATCTGCCCTTCTTTTAAGGCTCACCTAGAAACTGACACTATATCACTTCCATCCCGTCTATTGGTCAAAGCAGTCAGAGTGTTCATCTAAACTCAAGGCAGGAAACCCCACTTCTGGTCAAAGGAATGCTAAAGAATTTGTGGCCATCTTTAGTACACCACAGAGTATATACTTTGCTCTCTGTCTCTGACTTTTTTTCTCCCCAGGGTCATTAACACAATAACTTATATTTCTTTTTCTTTTGTTTCTTCTTTCTTTTTTTTTTTTCAGGACCTTGCACTTGCAAGGCAGGCAGGACACCACTGAGCTAAATCCCTGGCTCAACTTATATTTCTGTCACTTCTATATTTTGATGTTCTCCAAAAAGCTCCCAAAGAAACGTTCATTTTCATGAGTATCTAACTGTTTATTTAGCAACTACTTTGTAATACTGTAGGCTCTGAAGACAGAGTTAAAAATAAATCAGACCAAAAAAATTAAAAACCCTCCCCTCATGGAGCTCATATTCTAATCAATACATAGACAGAAATGTTGTATTGAATATGTTCAGCTGAGGCTCAGCATCCTTTCCCATTTCACTCTAGGGAGCATTCCTATACTGCAGAGGTGGGAAGATTTGAAAAATAACATTTCTGAGCACCTGTATAGTTCCAACTGCTCAGGAGGCTGAGGCAGGAGAACTACTTGAGCCCAGGAGTTTAAGACCAGC